TCAGCAAACCCCTATTAATTCGTTTTACTTATTTTTTTAATAGTGAGCTTTACTTTTAATGATGATCTTTACCTTGGGTCCAAATCTAATCGCGATCGTTGCCTTGGGTCCAAATGTAATTGCGTTCTTTGCATTTAATATCGATCTTTGACATGGATCTGACGAGGCTATTTAAGAACATGGCCTGAGATTTTAGATTGATGTTTTTGTTTGAACGAAACTACCTATAGCACATCCTATTCTATGTTCAATTTCCGTATCTCCTATACTAAATATGTTATAGCTGATCCATACACCGATATATCTGAAATGCTTAGTACTTACTAATTCCACATTTTAAATTTTTTATGATGGATTCAGGATACGTGGCATCACTGATTTCATTTCAATTCCAGATTGTAGTTTCTGTTTTGGAAACATTTACCTTGAGTCCTATTTCTTTGCACATTTCATTCTCAAGGAGTTAAGAGATTTGTGACCCATTTCCTCTTCCATGGGCTGTATCCCTTTGGAACGTTGTCGATCATGGCTCTCCCCGGTCTCCTGTCATTTTTAGTTCTTAATAAATTTTCTCTTTTTGTTATCTCTTGTAAACACTGTTCTGCCTACATATCCTCAAGCCCGTGAGGTAGGTTATGTGTTGTTTTCTTCTGTCCGTCTGGCTTTCAATCTGTCCTGCGAGTATCAAATTTTCCAAGCCTACTTTCCTCATTGTGTGCCCTAAAATTTCAACAGTCTCTTTCTGATGTTAAGTATAAGTATCCTTTTTTTAGTTTTCATTTTCTCTAAAGCTTCATCGTTGGTAACATGTTCGCTCTTTGGTATCCTCAGCATCCTACTGTAGAGCCACATCACTCAAAGTATTTTAATTATTCCTATTCACTTTCGAATTTATGTGGTCTGTTATTGCATTGTCCAGATAGTCGATTGACTATACTCGGCCTTTCGTAGGAAATGTTTGAGATAAGGGCAAAAGAAAGAAAGAAAATATAGTTATAGATCTTGAACTGATATAATAATGTTATCAATCCTATTCTGGTATCTCGTTCTCAATCCTTTTCCAACTGCCGAAACGTAGCTCCTCTTTGTCTTTTCTATCAATATTTTCATGGTAATTATTCACATGAGCTGTCCTGTTTGGTACAAAGAAGAATCTGCATTATTATTCGTCCTGACCTGGCATTTCAGCTTCAGTCGCTTTCATTTATCGTAACATAACTTCAGTGTGCCTTTTCTCTAAATACTTTCATGGCAATTGTTCTAATGAACTTTCCTCTCTGGCACCTTAACTTTACGAATTTAAGCGTAGTGCTAGATTGGCAGTTAGGTCTCATCATTTTACTGTTGAAATTGTCAGGCGTAAGTTCTATTTTCATAGTTTCTTCTCTCGCTCGCTTCTTGCTTGTAGAACTCTTTTCCGGTTTCTTTCTTTTCTATTAAATGATCTTCAAAACTTTAAAGGCAACGACAATCCCCATCTTCTGTCTTTTTGAATGCATGGTCGTTAGCCAAAGGTGTGAGCTACGAACAGGAGACGTCGGAATCAAGCAGGTGCAGAAATTTTGACTGGGTAAAGGACGACAGAAAATGTGACAGAAATCCGAAGGCACATTGGAACAGTAAAAAATGGCCTTCAAGAAACTAAACAATATTGCTGCCACATATCTAATCCGGTGCTTTTGGCATATAAATAGAGATTCTTGATAAAATTCAAAAAATCTGCAATGTTATCGATCACACCGTCGTAACGTAGCTTTCTTGTGTCTCTTCTATAAATATCTTCATAGCGATTTTTTTAATGCGCTTTCCTCTTTGCTACCTCGACTTCATGAATTTAAGCGTACTACTAGATGGGCAGTTAGGTCTCATCTGTTGAAGTTGCTAAATGCAACCGTAAGTTTTATTCTAATGATTTCTTCTCTCGCAATACTCACCTGTAGAACTCACGTCCAGCTTCTTGTTTTTCTGTCAAGTTAGTCAGTCAGTTAATTGCCATACGGGATACACGCTAGGGTGATCATGTCTCTTTCGATTCATGACACACTAGGCAAAAGATTTTTAGCGCAGTAGGTTGCCGGTTCTTTCTGCGTTGGACTGGTTGCTAACGAAGGCTATAGGGCACAGTTTTATGCTGCTATTCGACCCATAGCTGGGAGGGGAGAGATAGATTCATGCTTTTTCAAGGGTATTTGCGCGTAGGTGAATGTAACTAAATAGGATCTACAAAAATTTAAATGCAACGTCAATGGACATTTTCTTTTTGAATGCTGTTCTTTTATTGTCCTTTTGACTCAATAACGATTCCTCAGTTTTTTTTTCACCCTCAGTAATTAATTGCGTTTTAATGACTTTATTTCCTTACCCGAGGCAAAGTCATTTAAAATAGTAGCATATAATAATATAGTAATAATTACAGGAAATAAACCAACAGAGCATTTTCGATGTTTCGGTCGTTTTATGCTCCGGGCTTCTTTGAGTGATTGGAATTTCGATCGAACCCTTTATTTCGTCCACTGGGGTAGCTTGCTCTAGTCCCACATGACATGACATTTCCGGATATCTCAGTTTCAGTTCCAGTGGATAAAAGCATTGGTTAAAGTAATCCAGTGACTTTACCCAAAGAGTTGCGAGTTCAATACCTGGCCACGGCAGAGGGGAATAAAAACTTGGAGAGTTGAGTTACTAAAGGGAAATAACTGAAACTCATATATCCAGAAGAGGCATGTCACGTGGAACTAGAACAGTTTACCTCGGTGAACGAAATAAAGGGTTCGAAATTCTAATCATCTGAAGAAGGCCTGGGCGTACAACGGCCGAGGCATTGTGAATATGAAAACAAAGATGAGGACAACAGTCAGAACAATGTAAATCGTGTAAATATTTACAATAATCTAAGAAATTTAGAGAGCTAAACCAACAGATATTTCATCATTTTTATTCAATGTTGTCCCTCCCATTGATTCGTCCATTGTTTTAAATACCCGGATTTAAATGAATACTTTTTTTTCCCTTTTCTTTCTTTTTTAATTTATTTTTCATTCATTGTTTTTCAAGGGATAAATTTGATCGAAAATGAGTAAATAGATTGAAAGAAATGCTAGGGGAACGTTTTCATTTTTTTAAAATTTTGTTTGAAAAGTCCAATGAGTGTTCGTTAAGAATTCACTTGAATTAGCAGGTGAAGTCCGCCATTGATCGTATTTTGTTTTTTGACATGTCGTCGTTTTTCCGTATTGTTGAAGTTGCGTTGAATGAGATCACAGATAGAAAGCGTCAAGCATGGAATGCGAAACCAGAGCCATGAAGACAAATCGTCGCAACCATCGACATTAATCCTTGCTTGTCTTGTCTTCACACATACAGGCCAGGAATTCTGTGCACAAAAAGAGAGATGGAAAGAGAAAGAGAGAAATAAAATGGCAATAAACAAAGAAGAGATAATAGAAATACAAGCAAAGTACCATCTCGATTAAGTATTTCAGTTAGCAATATAATCTAGCAGATCGTTACTGATGTGGAGTGAATTAGTTCCTCACTGTGTGCTTCATAATTGTTTTCGCTTGCCAGACTATAGCAAAACTTAATAAATCTTTATAAAAAAAACTATCGTAAATTGTGGCATACAAGTCGATTTTTCAAACCTAAAAACTTTCTAAACTAGGGGTAGACTTATATGGCGAATGTAAAATGCAACCCTTTACATCAAGTTGATAACTACGGTATTAATATTTTATAGAAGTTGATTTTGACTTTAATGCATTTATCAGTAGACCTGACGAATTTTAAATGTTATACTGATACAATATACGGTACCTATTGGTGTGTATTGTAGATTGTTTGCTATACAATGCATATAGAAATATACAGTGTCTCAATATGCAGGTAAATGGTGTGACCTAAATAGTTTTGGCAGGAGTTGTCGTATACTGTAACCTAATTTCATTTACAGGTAGGCCTAAGTTTAGGGTCACTGGTAAGGCCATGTTTTGGGGTCGACCTATCCGGTAGGTATAGGCCTAACTATTTGAGATAAAAATCTTGAGGTCAACTTGTACGCCAGATCGACTTGTACACCGCAACTGACGGTAAATATCTGGTCAGCGGAAAATTGTAATCTGACAAAATGGAAAGAAATCGAGCAACATACACATTAGAATATTTTGTAATGAAACAAACTTTCTGCAACAGTGATCATTTGCCCAATGTTTGGCATTAGAAAACAGCAACACATCTCACTGCTCAAGGGTTGAGAGCCCGCGCTTTATTTGAACATAGAATGAAGAGAGGAATTTAAATCAAACAAGCGGCAGGGTAGGGAAGAAAACTAGCAAATGTTCCTCCATTTCTTTTGCAGTGAATATATACAGGTAGCTTTATTCCATGGCAAAAAATCTACATCAGCACATAAAGTGACATGTATTGCCCATGTAATTCCACGACGTGTGCCTTGTCATGTGATTCGCAACGGGTCGTGTCACTCCATTCTTGTTCCACAAACCACGTTGTTCTATAAATTAGAATGCATCTTTCGTTCAGATAATTAACAAATGAATATTAGATGTCTATAAATTCTTACGAAATGATTACCGGATGAGTGCATGGCATTACAAATTGACTGAAATTCATTATCAAATATAAAATAAGAATATATAAAAAATGATTAATAAATGAATACTTACCTTGAAAGTCAATTCTTCCGTCTCCATCAATGTCTACTTCAGCGATCATCTCATCAACTGAAAGGAGATAAGAACAGATGATGTAATTATAGTTTTCAGGACATTTGCTGATAGCGTAATGAATGGCAAGCGTAACGTTCATTTGTTTCTGTCTTTTAAATAAGAAATAATGCCTGTAACTGCCATGGCTAAAGCAAGAAAGATATTCCGAAGAAATGCTTATAATAATTAATAACTGAGTAAAAACATGAAGTATTGAACTTTTATGCAATATCGATCCTCTTTTATGGCAGTAAATGTTGGACAATCTCCTCAGTATGCTTACGGTCACATCACGTAGAAACACCGGTTCCCGTACGATCACCGAAGTTAAGCAACGTCGAGCCTGCTCATTACCTAGATGGGTGACCACTTGGGAATACAGGTGCTGTAAGCTTGGCTGTGCGGGTGGTGTAGTGGCTAATGGCTCGGAATTTTTCAAGTTTCAAGCCGAGTTCCAATTCCAGTTGGATTCATTATATTCACTTACGTGCAATTACCCTTGGGAAAGTTATGGATCTACCTCTTTTCTTCCCTGCTATGGGTTAATTAGTAAAACTTTTATCAACACAACCATTGTTATTTCCATAAAATAAATTAAAAATAAAATTATGTGCAGTATATTTAAATTTCGGCATTAAATAAACCTTAGAGATTGATATACCGCTAAACAAAACCAGACTGTTGCCACTGAGTGTTAACCTCAATGTCCACTTTATATATATATATATATATATAGTCAAACCTACCCAGGTTTCACCTAAGCGGATCGTCAGAACCCCCCCCCAAAAAAAACGAGATTGGTTTGATTATTGGCAAATCAAAAATTCGAAGATTTTTCGAGACGAGTATCGTTACCTATATATATATATATATATATATATATATATATACGTATAAGAGGTCTGCTGCAAAGTTCTCAGTCCGATACATTTCCAAAAATCTGGCCAAATATTAGAATTTTAAAAAATTCCTTTCTTGGTTGTACTGAAGATTTTGAAACACCCTCCCCCCATCGAATACACTCTGTCCTCTCTCTCTATAATGTCTATATATATCATATATAACTGAATTAAAGAGAAAGCTAGAGTGTGTGTGCGCGTGTGCAGTCTTTCTGAAGCGTATTACCGGGTTGGTTGGAAAGAACGTTTATCAACGACATTAAAATGCGTCGATTTCAAATTACTGCTTAACGACAGTCTGACGAAACATCTTCATTATTCCGCAAATGATCCGCACTTGTAACTTCATATATGCGTATTTGTTATTCACATCGTTTCCAAAGCAAAAATAAAAACGAAAATAAGAAAAAAAAAAAAGAAAAAAAAAAGCGAAACTATTGAATGTCATCGAAAGGTAACCGAATGTAACATACACCTAAATATGGTCAAAGAACATTGTGGTGAAAATATTGCGATACATACAACAAAAACCAATGTACTAGCCAGTCCAATGTGGGCGTAATAACTGTTTTGCCAATTGATTTCGACTTAAAACTTGCCACGGAAGATTTTTTTTGCTGAGTTGGATTAACGAAGTCTGTTGTGTCGACCAGAGAACAACCGTAGAGTAAAAACTAAGCAAAAATAATATAGTTTTCTCAAAAATATTTATTAAAACGTTTCCGAGTCTTTTCTGGGTGACGAGTTATTTTCACCCTCCAACCTCTCACACTCGGCACGTGGCATGCCTCTCGCTGCTTTGTCGCTACTAACATGGAAAGTGCCCGGATGAATTACATTCCTTGGTTATGCCAGATGTAACCTTCACGGCTACGATTCGCTATGCCACCTGTATTATAGCAAATCATACACATTCCACCCGTATTCCATCGGTGAGAAGTCACTAGAACAGCTTCTTCCCGCGAACCACTGCTTTGTGGAACCGTCTCACAAGATGAGGTTTCCCCGATCACTACAATATTAACCTCTTCAAGTCTAGGGTTAACCGGTATCCCCCTCTCATCCTTATAAACTGTCTATTAATATAACCCTCTACCACGAGTGGTCCTCGAGCCTTGTACAGGGTAAACATTTCTGTAAGAAAAAACAAAAATAACCCAATATAATGACGACCATATTTAATTACCCTGTCAGCACATAAGGTTAAAGTGTTGGGTTAAATACAATAAAAGCCAATGTATCAACCAATTCAATGTGGGCGTAATAATTGTCTTGCCAATTGATTTCGTCTTAAAACTTGGAGAAAAAATTGCTGCCGAAGATTGTTTGCTAAGTTGGATTAACGAAGCCTGTTGTGTCGATCAGAAAACACCCAGAGAATAAAAACTAAAGAAAAATAATATAGTTTTCTCAAAAACATCGATTATACCATAGAACAATATAATAGCAACCAAATTGAATTAGCCACTTAGCACGTATGTGTGCGTGGGGTCCGCTATAATTTTTATCGATCAACAGTAATTAATATAAAACACTCAGAAGAATGTAGACGATAGGATATGACTTATCTAACAACTTTAGCTGATGACATATTTACACAGAATCATTGATATTTACCTGGTAGTCGGGGTAATTGGTGCTGAGTTACTGGAATAACAATTTCAGTAAAGGTTTTGCTAATCTCATTCATATTTAATGGAAAAATCCCAAACTGGTGTAGATAGAAAATTAAAAAGTATTTGGTATTTTGAAGGTAATAACAATTTCGTCTTCGGCTCACACGAATATTCACGAGTAGGTCCAAGTTAAACAACGTATGAAGTTGAAATGAAAGTTGCAAGAGTTGATTGATAAGGTCTCCTACAGCGTGGTGTCGCTAACAGTGGAGATACAAATATGTGGTCGATAGTATGTAAACTTCTGTTCAAAAATGCTTTGTGTCTCTTCACTTTGTGATGACATTGGGTAATGGTATTCATTAGTCAGGAGTACTACGTCCAAGTTATGTATGAAGCCGGGATCAGTGATAAACTATTTGGCACTAGAAGACTGTGAGCTAATCGAAATTCGCAAGTGTATAAACGTAATGAAAATTTGCAAGCAAAGTTCGATAAAGTCAAATTGGCAACTGAAAAAATATATATTTCTATACACGCACATTCGAGCAAACGGGCGCATGGGCTCACGAGCGCGAAAGAACGCATGCGCATACTATGAAAAAAACTTTCACCAATGATAAGTGCTCATAAAAAAGAAAAATCATGAAGCATAAACAGTCAATTGCTGATACCCTCTGACGAGAGACGGACTGGTCCATCTACGACCCTCTGGAGTCGGAAGGCTGAACGTAACATCAATCAGGTGACAAACCTTTTAGTTATATATATATATATATATATATATATATATATATATATATAGATGTCAACCTAACAAGCAATAAGATAAAAGTTTTAGTGGAATAAAAAAGATTACTAAATATAAAATGGATTACTCTTTCAATGTTCTGTCTATGAATTTTTCCAATCAACTGTTTCATAGAAAATACCCAAAACTCCACCGAATTTCAAATTAATTTCTTCGTAGATTGTTTTAACATTTAGATAGTTATCAAACCTTAACGTCCCAAATATGCACGTTAAAGTAACGCGAATTAACAGCGTCTAAGAATTTGAATGAAACCTGTCATGTAATTGATTGGGGTTGTTGTAACTTGTTCCTTTAATGTCGTTCTTATCATTCACCCCTTAGCCATCTATATCTAGAGACGAGACGCGTTAAATTTGAGCAACATCTAGCCGACACACTGGGGTTAAAAATAGGAAACTTAAATGATACATATGACACATTCATATCCTCTCTCCCACCTCACTTCCTCACTTCGTTAACTTTGCGTAGACTTGATGAGGTCCGTCAAAAACGTGTGAATTTCTTTTCATTTTTCATTTCAGCTTTTGGAAGTAAAGTCTGATGATCCAGAACCCTGTTAAAGGGGTTATGGTGAAATAGCTTATTACATGGAATCTTAACGTGGTCTGTCTTTTATTCAAACATATCTGCTCTGAATTTTACATTGAGCTCTCTGGATATCATCCTCCTCAGGTCTACCCATACGGATTACCTAAGTTTGCATAAACTATATATATATATATATATATATATATGTGTGTGTGTGTGTGTGTGTGTGTGTGTGTGTGTGTGTGTGTGTGTGTGTGTGAGAGAGAGAGAGAATATTTCGAAAAATTTAAATTTAGCATATTTCACCAATGATCCGGCTTCATCAGAAAAGGCAGTTTATTTCAAGAGAAATAAATCTACATTATCGAGACGTTAAACGTGTGAATACTTGTTTTCTGTTATAAATGTTATCGAAATTTACACACACACACATATTTACACAAAGACATCTATCTATCTATCTATCTATCTATCTATCTATCTATCTATCTATTTAAATTGTGTGTATTTAGGCAGCATTTTTTCATTCGTACATGATCCTTGTCGAAAACACAATTATACTTAAACATGAAAACAAATCCTTGAAGCAATATACATCAAACAGTTGAAACCTAACCTAAACAAAATCAACTATGGAATCTCTACAAATATCCTTAAATGTCTATAATTGGTAACAGAAGCCATTGGTTTATACCAACGGCTTCCCATACTTAATACTTCTCGAATTCACTCTCGCGCGGTCATGTGTAACGTCATGAGCTGCGGTGCAATTTTCGCTTCTAGCGTCTTATATGCACGTGTTTATCGTTGCTTGGAAATCATCCATGTAAACAATAACAGACTATCATCATAGTCTTGTCAGTATATTGCTTAATATATTGTACAGTAATTGACATCTTATGTAAGCCGAAAGCTTAGATTGGATTAAAAAATATGTATCAATATTGTGATTTTCTTTCTTCGTTTAATGATAATGTTATTAAGCTTATCAGACGTTATAAAAAAGAATTTACATAAAATAAACAGACAACACTTTTCTATATTATTTAATAAAACATGTATGAATATATATATATATATATATATATATATATATATATATATATATATATATATATATATTCCCCTTTCAAATATTTAAACAAATGTTTTTATATATATAAAAGATAGAATATTATCTTAGACATCAGTGTATTTTTTAATTTTTTAAATTGATATATTTATCGGGGAATATCGAATATTGGAAATAGAACTTATGTAGATATAAAAATTGTGGATATAAACAGAACATGATGACTGGCAGTTCCACGTATTAAACGATAATTAGATCTATCTATCTATCTATCTATCTATCTATCTATCTATCTATCTATCTATCTATCTATCTCAGTCTGTTCATATCTATCTATCTATCTATCTATGATGACTGACAGTTCCACGTATTAAGCGATAATTAGATCTATCTATCTATCTATCTATCTATCTATCTATCTATCTATCTATCTATCTATCTATCTATCTATCTCAGTCTGTTC